ATGCCTGGATGTTCGTCATAGAATTTCATCAGTTGCAAACACACAAGCTAACTGCAGAGCTTAAGAGGCTGTGGTAACTGTGAAACTCATGCTTGTGGACAACATTAATGCGACTGGATCACTAATAAATTACAGAGGGCATTACAGAAACTCTATTGACCCAGAGACAAAATCATTCCTAGCTTTGGTCCTGTTTGGCTCATCCGTGATGCTATTCCCATATAAATTAGATCGATAGATACACTCCCCGCGAAACTATGGCGCTGTATTTGGTTCAAAGTAGGATCCAAATCTGATTGTATAAATTCTTAAAATCGCGTGGTCATTTCTTACGTAGAAATGACTAATCTTATAAAATTAAAGTATTTTTACGTGTTTTATCTCCTAACTTATTTACTCAATTTGAGTCTTCTAGAACCTAATTTTAACCGTAGACTTTGTAGAACGCAGAACGCGAATTTAACCTTTGGAACTTCACTACTGGATCTTGTTCGCTGAATCGTAATCTTTCGACATTCTTCACTGGATCGTGTTCGCTGAATCGTAATCTTGAGAACTTCTCCACTGGATCGTATTCGCTGAATCGTAATCTTTCGACTTTCTTCATTGGATCGTGTTAGCTGAATCGTAACCTTGAATATTACGGAAATTAACTTAGATCACGTGACATTTTCTGCATATCATTATTATTCGTCATTCATTTCATAAATTGTAATTCTAAGCAGTATCTAAAATTATAATAGAACAAAATTCACAGGAAATACACGCAGTTCTCTCTTCTTGGGGTAATTTATTTCTCATTAAAAACACGAATAATAGAATATATACAATCAGATCTGGATCCTATTTTGAACCAAATACAGAGCCATACGAAAAAGGACCGAGTTGAGGTCTCATCGAGAGATGGCACTTGCCAAAGGACATTCAAGGGAACACTAACGCTGAAATGAACACACACCGTTTGGCACACGAATCAAAGTTGTATGCAAAAGTTGAATTAAAACGACCCGAGTGGGAGAAAGGGGGCGTTCTTAAGGGGGATAAGCAACAAACCATCTGCAATATATTAATGGTAAAGACATGTGATGAGGTAAGAGAAGGCACAAGAGTATAGAGTTTATCGAACATAGCTTGTTCATGCAGCCTGGAACATGCATCAGCAATGGTAGAGTTAATTCCTGGGATTCCTGTGGCCAAATAAATGTCGTAAAAGCCACATGATAGTCTTGTTTCTAGAGGATCCTTTATTAAGCACTGATTTGGCTACAATATTATCTGTATGAATAATAACTTGACACATGACACCACCTCACTAAAGCCAAGAAAATGGCGGCAACCTCCTTCATATTAATGTGTTCATGGGACAGATTCCAGTTAGAATAATATTAGTCTCCTTCAATATAGCCATCTATGCCATGCAATGATGCATCAGTCTAGATTGAATTCACTGGCCTGTTGTCCAAAACCATAATACATACTGCAACGGAGTTGTTTGTCGTGAGATAACAGCTAAGATATTAACAACGTTTTATTTACACTATATTCAAACTAACAAGAGGTCTACACTAAATCTGAAGAATCCACCCGAGATCTTCTTCCTCTTAGCACGACGTGATCCTAACCCTTGCTAACGAATGAATCCTATGTCCTTCCTCCTTCCTTGCCAAATCGAGAGTTCCCCAAAATATGTTTTCGCCCTATATATATACTCCGATAGGCGTCGCTACAATATAGAAAAATGAAACAAAAACAAACAATCGAAAAAAATGAACAAATACACACTAATGAGCAACATGCAAATGAAACAGAAAGAAAAAAAGTCACTATAATGTGCTAAAAAAAGTTTATCGAATGTCACTATATTGTCTTATTGCTGAAAAAACTATATTAAACACACATGATAAACGCTTGAGTTATCTACCGGATTAACTAACTTCTATTGAAATCAGATCAGATTTTAAAAAATCAACATTTTTAATAGTTATGCACTCTTTTAACTTTAAACATCATTTCCCTACGATAATCACATTAAGGTCCTTCAATATAAAATTGTATCGAAAAAATTGAAAGACTTTAGTGACTGCATTTCCTTTAGCTTAATGTCCCTAAGGTGCTGGAGAATACTTGGTATATTATCCATCACCGATGACTTGTATATCATATTATGGATATATTTGCCTCGGTAAGTTATTTACCCCACTGCATCTGTCGTCATAGCAACCTAATCCAGATATCCATCTTCAAAAAATCCAAGTCATCATTTTCGTGAATCTAATGCATATTTTCTCCAATGCTCGAGCTAAATCTTTTATGCAAGCCACGACCTCGACGTTTACGAATCTGTTTTCCAGCATGATGTTGAGCTCTTTTACCATTTCATCTAAGTCAAAAAAATCTAGCTTCGTCTCGTAGTATGTCTTTTCTACCCCAATGTCTTCAGGCCTTTGGAAGATCTAACTTGTTTCTTTATCAAGGCGATATTCATTCTGTTGATGATACACTTATACATCCAAACTGCTTCGTCGAATTGTTTTGCGGACTTCACTTTGTTGTGTATGTGACGACCTTGGAATTTACAGGAACGAACTGTCAGGGTACCACTATAGACAAGCTGCTTGTTGGCAGGCTTGTTTGTTGGGTTCTACTTGCAAACTGCAAAGTAGATTATTCTTACCAACTGTATAGTCGTTGGTAAGAGACTGGATACGGACTTCTATCGGCTATGAATTTACTTTCCCAATGAGATAACAGCTAAGATATTAACAACGTTTTATTTACACTATATTCAAACTAACAAGAGGTCTACACTAAATCTGAAGAATCCACCCGAGATCTTCTTCCTCTTAGCACGACGTGACCCTAACCCTTGCTAACGAATGAATCCTATGTCCTTCCTCCTTCCTTGCCAAATCGAGAGTTCCCCAAAATATGTTTTCGCCCTATATATATCCTCCGATAGGTGTCGCTCTGAACAAAGAAAATAATTTGAATTTCCCTCCAAATTTGGGCCGACATCTGGAGACACTAGTCTATTTTCTATTGTTACCAAGTACTCAATTAACAATAACCAAGATGTTAATCTTATAGTAAGTACTTATAGGTAACAGTGGACCTGTCCAGATAATTCTAGAGTATAGTAAATGCTACTATACCCTTTTGTTCCATTACGACCCCAGGAGGTAATAGCATTAGCGGTGACATCTTTGTCTCCAGTCCAGGCAACTTTTTTTTTTTTTTTAAATTCTTCACTTAAGTTTACTTTATGGGAGCCAAGACACAGAGAATCTTTCTTATCCAAAATTCTGCGGAGAAAAGTCCTACCTCAACATATAACCTCCGCAGCCCGGCTATAAGCTCGACACTCAAAACATCTAATTGGTGTCTGCTAGCACATTTACGTACGGCAAAAGTGACTAATAGAACTTTAAAATCTGACAGTATTGACTCCGTATTAATTAGCACTCCTGGAAAGACAACAGATGTGCTAGGTCCACAATTTTTAGACCAGTTTATGCGAAATCCAAAAGTACGAAGAACAATCAATAAAGTATTCAAAGCAGAAACACTCTCATTAAATGTTGGGCTTTTGACCCCACCCAAAGGTAAAAAAAAATCGGGTTATGAATAAAATAACATCACCAAACCAAATGGTAAATATAATATTTTGTCATCAATATAGAAACATATGGCAATGGCTGAGAGTTTTAGCTTGCCATTTCATCCATTTTGCTTCACTATTACGACAATGAGAAAACATTCCGAAAAATGGCAGCTCAGACATCGAATGGATCCACAGGAAAATAAGTATTACGGAATCTAAAACAGTGAGCGGTGAGGTTATATTTTAAAAACTCAGTATTGTCACCATAACAGCGAAAAGTATACCTCTGTAAAAAGGCACAGTACGAAAGATTTGAAACTATAGTTTCGATTTCCCTAACAGATCCAAATTATAAATAAAAAAACCTTTAGTTTCGTTTTACAAGTCGTTTTTGTGCAGTTGGGCACAATGCGGCAAGTTGGGCAATGCGGCAAAACGAACCCACCGATACAGCAATGCCCCAATCTAAGAGTTATAGGACTGCATTGATATTTCTCATACTTTGAGCTAACCTGTCAAATATTACAACACCATGTTTTACTATTTATTGTTTACTTCGCCTGTACTGAAAGCAGGAATCATATATCTGCCTCGTCCTGTTTTGATATTAGTTCTTAGTTTTTCCTTCAAAATCTTTTTGTAAGCCTTCTGTTGTTTGCAGACCACACAAAAAAAACAAAAGAAAAACATGACAAGCTTAATGGATATAATATAGGTTATTGAGACTTATATTTGATCTTTTTGGTCTCATGAAAACTCGATATTTCAACTTTGACTCTTGTTCTATATATAGGTATTAAAATACAATAAAGAAAGATGTATTTAAGATTGGAAAGTTTTTATGATGTATGGTTGGTTGTGATCTAGAGTCAAGATTTTTTACAACTTGATACTAATTTGAAAATCTCTATCAGCGCAATATATGGTATTTTTGGTCTTAACTGTAAATTAATAGTAGAGAGACTTAGTGATTTTATTTTTTGTGTTATTTTTGCAACTGTCAAGTACTGAAATTCAAAATGAACGGTTGAATCTGTGTCAAGAGTAACCTACCAAAGTGCAATGAAGAGACAATCAGATTACTATACTGAAAATCGATTTACTCACAGAAAGTTGTGTACAAATATCTATTGTCTACCAAACAAACATTTTTTTCTCTAAAAAGATTTACTTTTATTTAAGAGATACAATTGCCATTGTCAATCAGTTATCTTCTTGAACAATAAGGTCTTTTGTTATGTAAATTGTTTGCTATGGTAACAAATACAGTTTATAATAAGTGATTGAAAGTTTTTCAAAGAAGGCTGATTCTTCAGAATCATCTATATTTGATTGATATAGTTTAAAACAACATTGGAAATTGTACCTGTGGGGGACTGTGAGCTGTTGAGTTGGCGGTATGTCAGAATTAACCTTTCTGCTGCTGTATTTTTATATGGTTCAAGGTGCACTGTTGCTATATTCTGACTGTAAAGATACAGTTTACATGAAAATACACTACAAAGAAAACTTAATAAATGGCTACTCTAGATTATTTTCTCCTATAGAATCTGTACACAAATGTTTAGAACTCTGCAGAGACGATGTTTTATGTAAATCAGTTGGTATTGACACCAGTAAAATGGATTGTTATTTATATGATGGTAGAGTTTATGCTGGATTACCAGGAACAGTCAATACAGATATGATATATTACTGGCAGCTAGAAGGTAAGTGGTGATCATACCAGAATATCTAAATATTAATGTTCAATATTAGATTAGATCAGATGCGTTTATTACATTAGCATTTGCAAAACATAATGTTATAGCATTGACAAAAAGTAAATACAAAAAAAGTTTTTAATACATTATTTACAAAATACTGATCTATTTATATAAAATAGAATAATGAATATATAGAGGTTATCCTATGGCTACGAGTGGGTATGGATTTTATGCTTTCTGGTTGTGATATTTTCACATAGCCACTCTTGAAAATATCACAAGCACTCATGGCATAAAAATCAGTACCAGTACCAGTATAATATATAGTAAATATAATTCAATAGTTGTATTATTATAGTTGAATGTCTTATACATCTTGGATATAGTGAAGATTCTACTAGTAAAATATATAGTAATATAATTCAATACTTGTTTTATTTCAGCTGAATGTCCTATACATCTTAGATATAGTGAAGATCCTGCTAGTAAAATATATAGTAAATATAATTCAATACTGGTTTTATTTCAGCTGAATGTTCTATACATCTTAGATATAGTGAAGATCCTGCTAGTAAAATATATAGTAAATATAATTCATTACTTGTATTATTTCAGCTGAATGTCCTATACATCTTGGATATAGTGAAGAGCCTACCAGTAAAATATATAGTAAATATAAAACAATACTTGTGTTAGATGGTGATGAGAACATAGTCTCATGAAAGCACTGTCCTAGGTCACAAAGATTTATGATAAAACAAGGTGCAAGTTAAAGGTTAAGATAATTAGATATGTTAACTAAGGATGTCTCTGTAATACTATCTGTGGTAGTATCATTTCTTTAGCTGAAACATTCTTCTGATATATCAATAATCATCTCAAGATAAAACCTGTATTGTGAAACAAAATCTTTTCATGTATCTATAGGAAAAAAAGAAGCATTTATATGAATAGTCATCGTAGGAAATTCAAAAGAAAAAAAGTCAGAAATGTTAAGGCTATTGAGGGTTAAGTCTACCATGGACTAGGATATTACTGAAATTTTAATTTCTTCTGTAAGCTGTAACAAGTCTCTTGCTATAGACATGAGGATATTGGTCTTGGAGATTCTGGTAGTGGCGTCTGATGATATGAGAAGCATTAGTGGCAGTATGATTGTAGGTGGTAACAAAGGGTATTATCTGGTTGTCGTGTTGAATATTTAGTTGGTCCATCCAATAACTCTCGAGTTGTAATCTTCTTTGCTTTGGCTTGATATCCGGCATAGGTTGTATCTTTTCAATAGGCATAATCAACAAGTCTTCAATGGAATGGTCGGGTTGGTTAAAGTGATTGGAAATTGGTCTGTTTTTGCCATGTACTATATTGTAACGATGGCCGTTAAAGCGAGTTCGCAGCGCGTTCTTTGTTTCTCCAATATACTGTATGTCGCATTTTTTACATGAAATTAGGTAAATCAGATTTCTCCGCTTGAAATTAAAAAAGTTTTTCCGGTTTTATTGTTTTTAAAGAAACAAGAAATAGGTACATGTTCGCAGGTACGACACGCAGAACCACCACAAAGTTTTGAGCCAAATCCAGTAGGCGAAGGAGGAGGGTCATTTTTCTTCTGAAGTAATAACGTGTCGTTTGTAATTTGGCGTAGAAATCGTTTGAGTTACCCTTCTCTCGTAATTTATTAAAAACTAGGTTGCATGCGGAATCAAAATCGGTCTGTTGAGTACAAATCCTATGGAACCGTAGGATTTGATAATCGCAGAGAATGTATGCTTCGGATGAAACGTGCTTTTGAACAAATTTGGTGCGTATCAGTCTCTTTAAAAAACACTTTAATATCAACTTTGGAAGTTTTTTCGAAATCGTTTCCCTTGAACACCGTAGTGTCCAAGAAATCCATACTATTGTCGCTAATGTTCGCCGTTAATTTAACTGAAGGATGGTGATTGTTTAGTATTTCAAAATATTGCCAAAAGTTTTCTAGTGATTCGGTCCAAATGATAAAAATATCGTCAAGAAATCAGCCGTAAAAAAGAGGTTGAAAGCTGAAATTTGGTCTATTTCGCGTTCCCATAAATATGACGTTGACGTAAATTGGGTTTTGCAGAAAGATAATCATATTGTGCATCAGAAAGAACCTTTTTTGTTACTAATGTTTTCAAAATATCGTTGATTTTTTTAGATGTTTCCATAAAAATTGGTCTTTCTAGTTCGCGATAATGAGTTTGACTACTTAACTGTTTATCTAATTCGAAAATATAATCAGCGCGATCCTGTATTACACAACAACTGCCTTTGTCACTCTTACGGATAATGATGTTATCATCATTCTTCAAGTCATTTAATGTCAAACGTTCAAAATTGGTTAAATTGTTCTTCTCGTGTACCAAAGGTAACCGAGCGACTTCATCGTACATTTCATCTCAAATATCAATAATACCATTGCCTATCGCACTGTCTGGTGGATTCCAACCAGATTTTTCAATAAATTTGGTACGCTTTCCGCGGCCAAGATGTTCACGAAAGAAAAACTTGAGTTTAAATATTCGCTGAATTTCTTTAACCGAAGACAAAATTGGTGAAATAGACAATGGCTTTGCCATGGGAATGAAAGTCATACCGCGATCCAAAAGTCTTTCTTCGACGGGAGAAAGTTTACGCGTACTAAATTTTAGAATATTTCCTCCACGCGTCTAGTTTAAATGGGAGACCATTCCAGCAGACGTCGACCATTACATTGAATCTTGGGATGGTAGTGGCAACAGGAGAAGGTTTATGGTAGATAAGGTTATTAAAACGACGGAGATACTTGTATTATTTCAGCTGAATGTTCTCTACTTCTTGGATACAGTGAAGATCCTACCAGTAAAATATATAGTAAATATAATTCAATAGTTGTATTATTTCAGCTGAATGTCCTATACATCTTGGATACAGTGAAGATCCTACCATTAAACTATATAGTACAATATATAGTAAATATAATCCATTACTTATATTATTTCAGTTGAATGTCTTATACATCTTGGATACAGTGAAGATCCTACTAGTAAAATATATAGTAAATATAATTCATTATTTGTATTATTTCAGCTGAATGTCCTATACATCTTGGATACAGTGAAGATCCTACCAGTAAACTATATAGTACAATATATAGTAAATATAATTCATTACTTGTATTATTTCAGCTGAATGTCCTATACATCTTGGATACAGTGAAGATCCTACCAGTAAAGTATATAGTAAAATATATAGTAAATATAATTCATTATTTGTATTATTTCAGTTGAATGTCTTACACATCATGGATACAGTCAAGATCCTACTAGTAAAATATATAGTAAATATAATTCATTACTTGTATTATTTCAGCTGAATGTCCTATACATCTTGGATACAATGAAAATCTTATTAACAAGATATGCAGTAAATTTTACTCCGACATTGTAAACTGGACTCATGCTGAAGAAATATGCGAGATGGACGGAGGGCATTTATTTGTAGCGGATACAACCGAGAAGATAGCTATTCTTCGTAAGTGTTCTATAAGACTATTTGTCAAATGTGTATAGGTGGCATTATGTTTCTGTTGAATGCATTTGGGGTTGATAGAATAGTTCTTTTTGGTTTGGATTTAATCGTTTTGTTTGAACGTGTTTCTATATTACCTTAACGTATCGTCGATGAAAATATCTTTTATCACTGCTTTTATAAAAATAATCTTTTCATTAGTTTTACATGCTGCAGGATGGTGGAAATTAATGATCCGTGAACAGCTTGGCGACCCTGTTGAAATTTCCGTTTTCAGGCGTATAGCAATAGTATGTAAAATTAATTATCTTTATCTCTTCAGAGGCTCATTGCTTTATTGGAGCAACAGATATTTTACAAGAAGGTGATTGGAATTGGTTAAATGGTATTCCTGTTGATCAAAATATGTGGATCGTGGGAGAACCCTCTTATTTAATGGGTATTGAAAATTGCTTAGGAAATGTTGCTCAACCTTCGCCTGGCTTTAACAACATCCCTTGTTCTTTTAAGTATGAATTCATGTGCGAAGTTCCTACAAAAAAAGTTTTCAACAAGTAACAAACTGTTTATCAAAGGGACGGGTGGACCATTTTTGTGACCATCTTAGTCTCAGAAACGGAAATTTTTATTTTACCTAAACCAATCAGTTATAGTGTTAACAGGTCATCGTCAAAATTTGAGTCTTCAATTGCTCGTGTGTCCAGAATTATCCTCGTCATTTTAAGATACTTTGTGATATATAGAAAAGACAGATACCGAATTAGTCATTAAAATTCATAGTTTGAAGTAGTTTTAAAGGAATGAATCGATTTTCTTACATTTCTAGTACTTCTGAAGACTATTTAGGTATATTAAACACTCAAATCAATCCCTGAAAATAGCGCAACTGCCCCTTTAAACATGCAAAAGGATGTACTCTTGTTCGCAGTTTAAAATTTGCATTATTAATAATTACTTTATTCGCACACTCAGTGCACATACAAAAAAAATTATACAAAAATTCAATTTATTCGAATTGATACTGTGTTGTGTGTGACAATTAATCTTACTTCGTACATTTCCAGTACTTCTGGACGATTTGCTGCGCTTTATACGATCCGCTCAAGATTTTTCTATGATCTGTTTTACGTTATAACCTGCAGTTTAGATACATTCCGACATGATTGAGTTCTTCATTGGGTTTCGATCTACCACGACAAGAACTGCGATTATATACGCAATGTCTTTTACGATCATACTATAGAGGGTGATATGATTTGAGCTACAACTGAACCCCGGCGGGTATATAAACAACAGTTATACTTTGTTCTCACTATCGCGATTCTCCGGACGATTGTGGCTTTATTGCGATGATCCTATCATCAGATCTTATCAGGAAGTCAGTCGTGATAATGTTGTTAATGGTAGAAACTGTTCAAAAAATTGCCATTTTCGTCTTTATTTATGACAAAGCACGACTTAAGCAAACACCTAATCCTATCTGAACACATGTGATTATATCTTAATGGAAAATCAGAAAGTGGCACCATAAATTTTGTGTCTTATATAATTATGTAATTGTCTTCCGAAGTTCTAAAACTGCTCGAAATTACACGTTCTATTTCTGTATATTTATAACGGAGTCTCAAGGAAGGATGTGTGGTCATTTTAACTATCAAACACGTGTAATTCTTGTAATTTCTTGTTTTCTACAATTTACATCTGATTTAAATGAAATTTAGTGTGATTATTTATAATTTGACAAGTTCCAATTTGGCGATTTTACGATGAACGTTTTTTGAGTTATCGTCCTTGACTTAGTATGAACGCTTGATTTTAATGAAATTCGCTCTGTTCATTTATATTGATGGAACTTGGACAAGTATGAATTTTTTGAAGAAAAGTTTTTGAGTTATTGCCATATAGTAAAATGCGTCAAAATTGATAATTTTAGTTACAACAATATCATACTGTAAAAAGAAACAAAAATTGAACAGAACTATTAAAAATGAATTAGAAAAGGAATTAAATACACAAATAAATAATAGGCTATCACATCTGATCTGTCCTGTAATATAACTTCTCAAACAATCTATTAAGATATCTCTTAAGTGAAAAACAAATTAGATGAATTATATATTGAAGAAACTAATGGTGCTAAAATTAGGTAAAAACAATTGTGTTAAGTACAAGCAAACCTAAGAAATCTAATATTGTGAAAACTACCATTAACAGATTAACATTGCAGAATGAGACTTACATTTCACGAAAATGATATTTGCGAATATAAAATACATGAAAGTGAAATCGCAATAAAGTCTTTTAAACCGAACAAATCTCCAGGAAACGACGGTCTTACTACAGAATTTTACAAAACCTATTGGCAATTCATAACTAAATTTCTATTAAAATCAATCAATTTTAGATTTGAAAACCAGCTTCTTTCACCTAATCAGCGACTATGTTGGTATTGCGTTGTGTGTTGCGTAACACAAATGCTTTTGCTCTGAGGGTTCGGAGGAATTAGCAATATTACTTGTACAATTTCCTCGTAAAAGTGCCAAATTCTTGCAGCAAGCTTTCTTAAAAAGGCGTAGACAGTTGTATAACTAATACGTTATCTTGTTTATGGAAGGGACAAATTTCAATCAATAAACGATCTTGGCTCATACGTCATGAGATTTTCGATTTAAAGCATTGTATGATGGTGTATATATTTTTGTATTTATATAGACTATACAGTGGTGTAACCTATTTTCCTCTAAGTTAATTGTCTTAGATGTTTCCTCAGATATTCTACAAAATAATTCAAATTGGTTTATTTCGATTTTCTTTATGAATCCTTCACTTTGACCTATATTTCATGAGTAACCAACTCGGCAACGGCGGCAGAATGTGTCACCTATTTTCGTGTACAATGTTTGATCTATAAATAGGTCGAGAAAAACACGTTGTATGGATACCGGGTGGTATAATTAACTTCTCTTAGTATTTATCTTTAATATCAATTCATTATAACTAGTGACAATTCCTTCAAAGAACCGCGATTTAAAAAATAAATAGTAACTGACAAAATAAGATACGTAGCGTGATTTATTGCTAAAAGTCACTGAAACAACATAAGAATATGGTCCACTTTGTGTTCCATAGAAAGTTTCTGCTGACAAGGAATCCGCTAGTTGATCACGTAACTTCATTCGTTGGAATATATTCTAGCAGACGACACTTGGAATTCCGATTATCGCTTGGGATTATAAGGAAATTCGGCCGATAAAAAATGGTGACGTTTGGTTATAACTGAAATCCGCCATTTTGTATTTGTCAAAGTATACATTATTACACTTTACCTTGCTTGAAACTACTGGATTCATTCTACTAGCTGATATTGTAGAGAAAACCCATGTTTATCAAAACAAGCTAATGCGGAGGTCGCGCAAGGTCGCTCTTGTAAATTATTAATCATTTCCGGAAATCCACGAATAATAGGTTTCCACGAAATTAGGTTACTTGACTGTATTATATATATGTTATTTATCATTAATTCATTGTTGAGAATGCTACAAATTTAAAGTGGCCTATAGGCCCATAGAGCCGAGTGTTTGCAAAACTTGATATGCACGTAATATATATGTATACTTATTATAACACATGTCACTGTAATAAACAATTACTTACTTACTTACTTACTTATTATGAGAACGGGCTCCGTAAAGTGTTGTGGCACGTATCCAAAGTTCAGAATGCATAATACCCCACTGAAGTGACTGACACTGCATGTGATTTCTAAAAGATGAATCATAAAATACAAATACTCTTTGGCCATAAGATTAACTCAAATCCTGTGTTTGGATATTTCAGTAATTATATATCCATGAAAATGAATCCGCAGACCCTCTATACTATATTCAGCAGACCTAACTAGAATCCACAGACCCCCTATACTATATTCCGCAGACCTAACTAGAATCCACAGACCCCCTATACTATATTCCACAGACCCAAACATCCATGACCCACACTGTAAAGGGCCATGTACAAGGGTAAGATGTTCCATTCTATAACCACCATCGCCACTTAAAATTCATTTTTTGCAAGCACGTCATGTGCTCCAGGGCATCAACAGCAGGCATTTTAACCCAGTACTTTTGCACTGACATTTGGAATCTCCGCTCTGACCGGGATGCGTAATTTTTTCCTATGGAAGCATGCATTAGGCTACCTGTGTCGATAATAAGACTTGGAGATGAAGTCATCTAGACATCCATAGGTGTTTATTGTGTAATAAGCGATATGGAAGTTTTTACTTGCAAAGTTTATCAAAAACTGCTTTATGAAGCTTTGTGGGTTGACATCCTTGGATGTTGGAAATGAGAAGGGTTCAAAATTACATTATTATACATTGGGCAATCCTCGGCAGTTTCCATAAACCATAATTTATTGCAGAGCTTTAGTGTAACTTTCAAAGAGACCGATTGATTATGATATTGAAAAACGAAGTGTCAACTGTTTTATTCAATAGGCATTTTATTGAAATATTGTGCATATGTATGTTTGTATCAATCAGATTGTTGGAAAAACGATTCATCTTTCTCATTCACATTAATTTATACAGCGTTGAAATACACAGTGCATTTTTTTTACATAGTATGCTATCTAATCTCATGATCTTAATATCAACTCTAAAGCACTTTCAAAATATAATTCTATGTCACAAAATAATAACAAATTACAAAATAATTCTATATCACGAACACAAAATATCGTAATTCTGAAAATGTGAAAGTTAAAAAAACAACTGCAGCTTTTGAAGGGGGTCTGTGGAATATAGTATATAGTATCTTCCGATTATACAAATCTGTAGTCTTCGATCTTCGTATTATACCGTTTAATACTTCCCGGATGTAACTTTCAGATAAAATAGATATAAATAGTGCTTTTTTTCAGATTTTATATAGAAAATATCGATGAATTAACTAAAAATAATTTAAAATTAACAGAAATTAAACATTGTTTGAAGAATAAGATATCTTTTTTAAAAGACAATTCAACTCACACACCCAAAATTTCTTTAAGACAAATTTTAAGCAATAACCTGGAAAGAATTTATGAATATAATATATGATATACTCATCAAAAAGCGTTTTATAAAACCACACGGTATAGAATGTTGGGAACAAATGCTTGGTAAACGTTTGACAGAAGAAGAATTTAAACTGTTATTTAGAAAAATAAAATCTGTAATCTACAATACTGAAGTGAGAGATTTTTAATTTAAATTCTTACATTGCATAATTTTTACCAACTTTAAACTACATAAAATAGGTTTTGAAAATAGCTCACTCCGTGTTTTTGTGGTAATGATATAGAAACCATTGGACATATATTTTTATTTTGTAATATTTCTCAAGTTCTGGAATTTCCTATCCCAACTATTTAATAATCAGCATTTTCTAATTCACCACAGCAGTAAAGGTCTTTGGTATACCAAATATTCTAATATGTCTAAAGTAATGTGGCAATTTTTAAACCATACAAATATTCTAGCTAAATATTTAATATATCGATCAAAATTGCAAAAATTACAGTCTAGTATTATTTCAGCTGAATGTCCTATCTTGGATACAGTGAAGATCCAATTAGTAAAATATGTAGTAAATTTTACTCCTACATTGTAAACTGGACTCATGCTCAGGAAATATGCGAGATGGACGCAGGCCATTTATTTGAAGCGGATACAACCGAGAAGATAGCTACAAATTTTCACAGTGGCTGCTTTTTAAATTCACCTTTTGATGAGTTTTGTATGATACATGATTGTGAAAATTAAGAATCCGTCGACAGTTTAGAGTCGATTTTGTGGCCCAGTTGTAATTTCAGTTTCCATCATCCGAATAAGAATTTGGATATTTCAGTAAATATATATCCATGAAAATGTAAAATGCTTTGAGCCACTTTTCTATGTTTAGCACCTTTGACTTAGTTTGGTTTTGAAACAATCTTTAGAAGTTTGTCATTTCCAGAGTTTTCAATATCGATATTTAATCCTTCGGATAGTCCTTTAGGCAAAAACGAGTAAAAATTCTACAAACGCTTTCTGCCAAATACAGGATTTGAGCTTATCTGACACATGGGCAGATATACCCAGATAAAAACAATGTATAGAGTTAGAAGTAGAGGGATCAAAATACAAATTTCTTTAGGCCTTTGACAAGTGGCTTGCTTCAACAAAGTCACGATTAAAAAGGTCTAAAATGGGAAGTAACTCCGATATTCTAATAATTGATTAATTGATAAATGGTAACAACATTTCCAGACTACAGAAATGTAATTATATTCCATAATTATGTATTTATGTATAGGCCTGCGTGCGTGGCGGGCCTTATGTCTGATTTTAATAATAAGCTTATAAAATATTTTCATCTAATGATGTGAAATTTATTAGACCTGTATAAACAAATCTCGATCTTAAGAAAAGATGTTATCTCTTTTGCTTTCATAAGAAAACCTCTCCATTTGACCTCAATGCGCATTGAAATTAACATTGCTTATAATATTTAAGTACACCTCTCAATAGTCGGCACAATGACGTTACCATGTATACATTCTTAAATTAATGGCTTCAGTATGGACTTTAGTTCTTATTAGTTTATAATAGCTCTATGTTTGAAGCCAGGTCAATCTTGAATACATTTATAAAACAGATCATATTTACTTGACAAAGGATCAAGAATCCAATATTATATTTGGAGTCCATTATTAATGTCAATATTAATACTTAATATTAATTAATATTATATTATAAATATTAATATTGGTTAACCCTCGACAGTTGGAAATCGAAAAAGAGCAGGCTGATGCCGCTGTCCTGGCAAAATTTCCTTTATTGAACCCTGCATAGCGTTTTCCGTCTTCCATTAGCCCACATGGTGCAGGAAAGTAGGATGTAAAACGCCATTCATTTCATTTCCTTTACAGCAGTTACAATTGCCATTGTCAGACAATTATATTCCCGGATAATGATGTAGTCTTTTGTTGGGTAAACTGTTTGCTATGGTAACAAATGGAGTTTATAATAAGTGTTTCGAAGTGGACTGAATGTTTCAGAATCCTCTATATTTGATTGATATAGTTTAAAACAACATTGGAAATTGTACCTGTGGGGGACTGTGAGCTGTTGAGTTGGCGGTATGTCAGAATTAACCTTTCTGCTGCTATATTTTTATATGGTTCAAGGTGCACTGTTGCTATATTCTGACTGTAAAGATACAGTTTACATGAAAATACATTACAACGAAAACTTAATAAATGGCTACTCTAGATTATTTTCTCCTATAGAATCTGTACACAAATGTTTAGAACTCTGCAGAGACGATGTTTTATGTAAATCAGTTGGTATTGACACAAGTAAAATGGATTGTTATTTATATGATGGTAGAGTTTATGCTGGATTACCAGGAACAGTCAATACAGATATGATATATTACTGGCAGCTAGAAGGTAAGTGATCATACACGAATTTATATATATTACAGTTTAACATGAAGTAACTATAATTCAATACTTATATTATTTCAGCTCAATTTTTTATATATCTCGGATACAGTGAAGATCCTACCAGTAAAATATATAGTAAATATAATTCATTACTTGAATTATTTCATCTGAATGTCCTATACATCTTGGATACAGTGAAGATTCTACTAGTAAAATATATAGTAAATATAATTCATTACTTGTATTATTTCAGCTGAATGTCCTATACATCTTGGATACAGTGAGAATCCTACTAGTAAAATATATAGTAAATATAATTCATTACTTGTATTATTTCAGCTGAATGTCTTATACATCTTGGATACAGTGAAGATTCTACCAGTAAAATATATAGTAAATATAATTCAATACTTGTATTATTTCAGCTGAATGCCTTTTACATCTTGGATACAGTGAAGATTCTACCAGTAAAATATATAGTAAATATAATTCAATACTTGTATTATTTCAGCTGAATATCCTATACATTTTGGATATAGTGAAGATCCCACCAGTAAAATATATAGTAAATATAATTCATTAGTTGTATTATTTCAGCTGAATGTCCTATACATCTTGGATACAGTGAAAATCCTACCAGTAAAATATATAGTAAATATAATTCAATAGTTGTATTATTTCAGCTGAATGTCCTATACATCTTGGATACAGTGAAGATCCTACCAGTAAAATATATCGTAAATATAATTCAATACTTGTTTTATTTAAGCTGAATGTCCTATACATCTTGGATACAGTGAAGATTCTACCAGTAAAATATATAGTAAATATAATTCATTACTTGTATTATTTCAGCTGAATGTCCTATACATCTTGGATACAGTGAAGATCCTACCAGTAAAATATATAGTAAATATAATTCAATACTTGTATTATTTCAGCTGAATGCCCTGTACATCTTGGATATAGTGAAGATTCTACCAGTAAAATATATAGTAAATATAATTCATTACTTGTATTATTTCAGCTGAATGTCTTATACATCTTGGATACAGTGAAGATCCTACCAGTAAAATATATCGTAAATATAATTCAATACTTGTTTTATTTAAGCTGAATGTCCTATACATCTTGGATACAGTGAAGATTCTACCAGTAAAATATATAGTAAATATAATTCATAACTTGTATTATTTCAGCTGAATGTCCTATACATCTTGGATACAGTGAAGATCCTACCAGTAAAATATATAGTAAATATAATTCAATACTTGTATTATTTCAGCTGAATGCCCTGTACATCTTGGATATAGTGAAGATTCTACCAGTAAAATATATATAGTAAATATAATTCATTACTTGTATTATTTCAGCTGAATGTCCTATACATCTTGGATACAGTGAAGATCCAATTAGTAAAATATGCAGTAAATTGTACTCCTACATTGTAAACTGGACTCATGCTCAGGTAATATGCGAGATGGACGGAGGGCATTTATTTGTAGCGGATACAACCGAGAAGATAGCTATCCTTCGTAAGTATTGTTTCAAACATGTTGCTTGTGGTTGGGGTTGATAGAATTGTACCGAGTATTTGGTTTTGTATAATTCGTTTTGTTTCATTTCAACTTGTTTGATATTAGCTTACAAATTTTCACCGTAAATATTGCTTTTTAAATTCACCTATTGATGAGTTTTGTATGATGCAGGAATGTGATAATTAAGAATCCGTCGACAGTTTAGAGTCGATTTGATGGCCCAGTTGTTATTTCAGTTTCCACTAGTTTATTCAGGTGATGGGCAAAATAAAACTATCTCTGTATCTATTCAGGGGCTAACTACATAGTTGGAGCAACAGATATTTTAAGAGAAGATGATTGGTATTGGTTAAACGGTGTCCCTGTAGATCGAAATATGTTTAAAATTGGAGAGCCCACTAATACAAATGGTGATGAAAATTGTTTAGGAAATTTTGCTCTCACAGCGCCTAGCTTTAACGACATCCCGTGTTCTTATAAATATTATTTTATGTGTGAAGTTCCTACAAAAATAGCTCTCAACCAATAACTTAAATGTTTATTTAATAAAGTATGCTAAAGGTTGACGTCTTGATGGTTGGTATTGTGTTGTGTGTCACAATTCAATAATGAGCTTTAGAAAGTAGGAAAAGTAAATTTCCATTCCATTTTCCCCCAGTTTTGTCGTCGACCTTTTCGTAATGGTATTCTGACTTGTGATTTTAAGATTATTGTGGGTGACTGGAATCTTATTCAATATACTGATCTAGATGCATACAATTACAAAGAGGTTAACAATCCTAATTCAAGAAAAGCTATTAAATTTAATAGACCCATTCTAACCCAAACACTAAACGATATATTTGGTCCAAGAAAACCCCAATTAAAAAAACTAGATTAGGCTTCTTTTAATAACAAATGAACTAATGAGCCGTGCTAAAACAAAAACAGGTTTCTCCCATGGTTACCGATCTAATCACTCAGATATAGAATTAGAAATATCTGAATTCCAGAAAGGTCGTGGATATTGGAAATTTAATAATTCATTATTGTATGATCCGGAGTATATTTAAAAAGTTCTATTATGAACACATCAAACTCATGTAGCGTAGAGAGTATTGCCGATGCTAATAGAAATGATTTTATTAGAAATAAGAGGAATGACAATTTCATACTGTATCAAACAGAATAAAAATATAAGAGGAGAAGAAAAATGCCATATAAAATAAATCGAATGTTTGGAATTCCCACTAGATAAGTTTTTCACTGAAGCCCTTTCCGAAAATAGAGATAATCTAGAAATTAAACGATTACCAAAACTACAAGAAAATCCATTAATTGCTTTGGTAGTCTGGAAAAAAGAAATTTTAAAAATAAAACTGTTACAAAATTAACAAATAAATAAATGGACAGATTGTTTTGAAACAATTGGATATTCTTGATGAGATTCAATATTTTTAAGAAAACTTGTACAGTAACAATGACAAAAATCTGACAAACATAAACCCGTACAATATTAAAGCTCTAAAAATGCACCAAAACTTGACAATGATGATTCACATTTGCTAATAGGAGAAACTTCCTATTACCTTAAGGAGAGGCGTTATTTCTATTTTACCCAAAGGAAACAAACCGAGACACAATCTAGCAAATTGGAGACCAATTGTCTTGCGTAAAATATTGTCAGGGTGTCACTTTATAGCCGAAAACACAAGATTAATCTATGATATAAAATGGGCAGAGGAGGACAATTTAGAGGGCATCTTATTTGTTGTAGATTTTTTGAAAGCGTTTGATTCTTTGTCATAGAAGTTTTTATATAAAACTCTTGAATTTTTTTAATTTCCAGTGCAATTTATTGATTGGATAAAAATATTAAATGACAAATGTATGCTCTGTTATCAAAATTCTTTACAATCGAACGTGGCTGTAGACAGGGGGACCCAATCAGCCCAGACCCCTTTTTACTGTGAGGTGAAATACCGGGAATCCTGTTCAGACAAAATATACATATAAAAGGATTAAAATTTGGCGCTAACGAGTGTAAAATTATACAATGTAGATGACACTACTCTTGTCCTTGACGGTACTGAAAAGTCACTGAAATCCGCCTTAAACCTCTTAGAGGAATTCGCCAAATATTCAGGGCTTAAGCCAAATATTTCTAAGACAAATGCAGTCTGGCTAGACTCAGGCCAGAAGAATGATAATATATGTGCTTATCTCGATTTACCATTCACCATTTTGAGAATAAAATTTCATACAAATCTAGGCTCAGTTAAACAATTGAATTTTGGATGAGATAAAAAAAAAGATAAGAGATTGGAGCAACTGTTATAGGAAATATAGGTGTTGTAAAGATCCTAATGATACCAAAGCTAGTGCATTTATTCACAGTCTTGCTAACACCAAGTGATACTTTTATATTTGAACTTAACTCAACTATATTTTTTTTTTATTAAACAATATTTTATTAATACATTAAATGGATTGGGGAACAGGCTTATGCCTATATAACCCCTCTCCATAACTCAACTATATGTAGGTTTATATGGGGAAGAACCGAGAAAATTAAGCGGCCCACTCTGATACAGAAAATAAAAATATGTTGCATATAGAATCATTCTGAAAATCATTAAAACTATCATGGATTAAAAGAATACAAGCTACGGAATCTCAAAGGTACAATTTGTTAAACTACATCAGCAATGAAAAAATGGGGCGAATGGAAAATTTCTATCATATGCCTTTACAATTCTAAACCAAATATTCTTACCGATCACGGTCTTAAAAAAAAAACATAAATCAAGTGTGAAAAAAATATAATATTCATTCTAAAATCAGTATGCCTACAGAGCCATTAAGAATAAAAATTTTGAAAAAGGAAAATAAGACTTTAAGATACCTCTATTGGCATTTTGTAAAAAAAATGGTCAATAGATATAAAAGCACTTGACAAATAGGCAAAAGATCTAAATATAGGAGTAGATTATTTAAAAGGGTGCTTCGAAATATATCATAATTGTACTATTGATGTTTAAGGTTTTTATGATTATGAAGTATAAAATAATTCATCGTATCCAAGGAACGAATATCATACTTACTCAAATGGGAATCAAAGAGAGTGTGCAGAATGTAGTATGTGCAACATTGCAGTGACGGAGAAAAAGGGGGGGGGGGGGCAGAGGATAGATGATATCTGTTGTTAAGTTATAAAGATAAATTAAAACAAATTCTATATAGATGATATATTTGTAAGTTATAAAGATAAATTAAATATTGAATTGTCTTTAGTCTTAAGCAAATTCTATATAGATGATATCTGTTGTAAGTTATAAAGATAAATTCAATATTTAATTGTGTTTAGTCTTAAACAAATTCCATATAGATGATATCTGTTGTAAGTTATAAAGATAAATTGAATATTGAATTGTCTTTAGTCTTAAACAAATTCCATATAGATGATATCTGTTGTAAGTTATAAAGATATATTAAATATTGAATTGTCTAAGACATAGCCTATATTGATGATATTTGTTGAAAATCATTAAGATATATTAAATATTGAATTGTCTAAGACAAAGCCTATATTGATGATATTTGTTGAAAGTCATAAAGATATATTAAATATTGAATTGTCTAAGACAAAGCCTATATTGATGATATTTGTTGAAAGTCATAAAGATATATTAAATATTGAATTGTCTAAGACAAAGCCTATATTGATGATATTTGTTGAAAGTCATAAAGATATATTAAATATTGAATTGTCTAAGACAAAGCCTATATTGATGATATTTGTTGAAAGTCATAAAGATATATTAAATATTGAATTGTCTAAGACAAAGCCTATATTGATGATATTTGTTGAAAGTCATAAAGATATGTTAAATATTGAATTGTCTAAGACAAAGCCTATATTGATGATATTTGTTGAAAGTCATAAAGATATGTTAAATATTGAATTGTCTAAGACAAAACCTATATTGACGATATCTGTTGTAAGTCTGTTTTCATCAAATATGGAAGACACTTTTACAATTTCTTCTCGCCGTGCTTGACTTAGAAAATGATAAAAAAGACTTAACGAAGTCAATAGTTTATAGTTTTCATAGAAATACAAAAACGGTTACCATTATTTTCTATTTCCATAGGCAGGCTATTAGAAGTTTTTTTCTGGCGTGCATTCCACTGGACGTAGGCTGTTTGGCGACACATCCAGTCTTATGGCTTATCAACATTTTACAGGCGTCACGAAGCAGTACCAAGGTATATCCGTCAATTGCTAGCTTTGCCCTGTTTGCCTGCTGGGCACATCGTCGAAACATTTTAAGGCATTGAAGCAGTGAATACCAACAGAGTAGTTGCGACCTCATGAATACCTTTAAAATACTTAAGAGACATCTTTATCTACGATTAAGCGTTTAATTTGTTTAAATCCATACTATATTTTTTAGCAACTTCTTTGTAATTTCTATTAAAAAAATCATAGAACGCGATTAATTGTTGAAGATACAATTTCATTATTTGTTTCGTGCAATTTCACAAAATAGTGTTTAATGCCGTCAATTATCACAAAATATGCTTGTATCATATCACAATTAGTGACAAACACTTGGTTTTAGTGGAATGGAAGGACCACAGAAGTATGATTGATTATTGGAATGGTCCAAATCAGTGTCCCCGATAAATATAATTTTAATTACAAAATCTCTTTATAATCCCTTTAATAGTAAATGACATAGGTTGATCAAAGTGTGGATATTAAACTAATTAAACGTACAGTGGAACGAGTTTGATTGCTTATATATTGACATAAAAATATTAAATTATTAAAACAGAGCCCAAAAATCAATGTGTTACTCTGACATGTAGACGTGAGAAAGAGGTCTACTTGTCCAACTTCAGTTGGAATAGTGACTGAAAGTAGGTCAGTTGTCTATAAAAGAGCACTATTTTAACAGTCAGAAATGTTGTAGTGCGTTCTTGGAACTGCATTGTGTTGCAAATGACTATTTTTCTTTGTTTTGCAAATGTTTTGAAACTTTAGATGCCACACACTGTCTGTTCCTGTTTTTATGTTCAAACTTGTGTACACACAACTTTTAAATGTATTACGGCACCATAGTGACTGAAAGTAGGTCAGCTGTTTAAAGAGCACTATTTTAACAGTCAGAAATGTTGCAGTGCGTTCTTGGAAATGCAATCGGAAATGATCTGTGGACAATGGTTTTTTTTTTCGTTTTTTTTCTTTTTATCAACTGGGGCTTCAGTGCTTTTCATTGTTTTGGTATTTCTGGAATCTGCAATCGATTAGTAAAAAATGTTTTTTAGCGGATTTTTGAATTTCGATTTTGCTTCTCTTTTATTTCCGGTTAAAGGTTTTCTAAGGCTCATATTTCTTGACCTTGACTTTTTGTGTCCTTGTGAACTGAACAAAATTTGCTATCCTGTTGAAAATTACGATTTTTATCTTTAAAGAGCTCCGCCACGTGACCTAATTTACACTTACAAAATATTCTTAATAGTTTCATCTACTCTTTATAATAATATATAAAACTACATATTTCAATCAAAATTGCTCTTTTTTAGTAATCCGATTTGTGTAAATTTGATGTCTATAGTATCTACAAGCTACTGCAGAATAATATTTGAGAACCGATTTTTATTTTTTTCTTGATTGAAATATACAAACATCGAAGGGTCGTATGTCGTGACCTTTTATAATTTTTTTTGTGACCTTGACCTTGCTTTTCGATACGATATTCATCCGACGATACGATTTATTGCGATAATTATCTCGATTAATTTATTGGATAAGGAAAGAGAAAAACTAGTAGAAATTTGTAAAATTAATAATAAGTTTGTCACTATTAAGCACGTTTTCATTCTGTTAACCTTTGCTTGGCATCTCTCTTAACCAATCACGTGGCTGTCCTTTCCAGCGACGGGATAATGTGATGCGAACAATAGGTGCATATTAGACTAACTTATCAAGTCACGTCAAATTATCGTGATTGGTTAAAACAGAGGTCAAGCAAAGGTTCACAGAATAAAAAGTCAAGTTAGACCTTACTGTAGTGATTACGTACAAAGCTAATAGCTAATAAAATATTCGAAATAAAACTGATAAAATACGAACGGAAGTTTAATTTAAGTTTAGGAGAACAATATATTTGTTTAGGCGATCAGTTGAATATTATTTGAGTTTGGGAAATTTGGAGAACAATATACTGTCAGAGTTAGACCTTACTGTAGTGATTACGTACAAAGCTAATAGCTATTAAAATATTCGAAATAAAACTGATAAAATACGAACGGAAGTTTAATTTAAGTTAACAATATATTTGTTTAGGCGATCAGTTGAATATTATTTGAGTTTGGGAAATTTGGAGAACAATATACTGTCAAATTTGTATTAACGACCACTTCAATGAACAGCCACCAAAAATGTTCAACCAAATTTACTTCAATTTTCTTGACTGTTAACACATGTTACCCTCAAACAAACAGCCAATTATTAATAATCCTTGTTAATCTGATAAATTAAACTAACCATTACTTACTGTAAAACAGACTATCATCCAGAGCTCCTTTCACTCAACTTTACTCAGGAAGCCATTTTCTTTCACAATCATAAGTCAAACTTGTATTAAGCATGAGATCGAGGGAATGATCAAAGATGGCTGCTGCTAAAGGGCCATGCTTAGCAGGGGTTTGGTGCACACAGTTAAGAATGTTAAATTAATATGTCGTCATTACCTGCATTTAATAACAATAACAATAGGCCTATTAACTATTAAATATCAATACTGATAGGTAAGTCTGTAATTTTTAATGGCTTTTTTTCCCCCTGGAAGTTGTATCAATTTTCAATGAATGTGAAACAAAAATGGACTACGCAATAATGGCAGGTTAGGTTTTTGGTCAATATTTATATCAATATTCTCTTATTCAATCAAATAGGTTTTAAAAGTTTGGTGATTAAAAATTAATATCTAAGAGTTTTATTCATGGATTATAGACTGATTTCATTTATTTGATGTTAAATATAAGGATTTTTGGTGCTAAAATCTTTGCAAGCTACTAGCTGAAGAACTCAAGAGTACTTTGTGCAAGAATAAAATTTCAATATACATTGAAGATATTTTCAAATATATAATTCAGATAGACTAAAGGCAGGTCTGAGATTTGTACTCACTTTTGAACTCTTATTTATATTAACCAGGTTGAGTAAAAAACTACAGACTGGTCACTACTTGTTAGTTAACTCTGTTCAGATATCGTATTAACATTTATTAACAACTTGACCTGTGAACAACTTAACTTTTAAACAACTTGTGTGGTATAATGGATCAACAAAAACATAGGGGACCTAAAAGGACAAGAGAAAGTTCTACACAATCTGAAACGGATGTATTTGTAGCTGATAATTTTACAGAAATGAGTGAAAATATAGAAGCATTGAGAGCACAAATGGATACCATGCTCACAAAACAAGATTTGAAGTCTTTCATATGCGAGATTACAACTTCAGTGGCAAGTAAAGTCATCGAAGAAATCAAAGGTGAGATAAGTGATTGGTCAAAATCAACCAATTCTAGATTAGACACACTTGAAAACAAAACTCTTAAAAATCAATTACAAGAAGCACATGAATTAATACAAATAAATTCAGCAAAGGTGAATGAAGCAATAATCATGTCAAATTACAATGAACAATACTCTAGGAAACAAAACATTAAGATACCTGGATTGCCTGAAAGTGAGAATGAATGTTTAGTGGATAAGTTTTGCGATGTACTCAAGGATGTCTGGAATATGAACATTGCCACGGAAGATATAAAAGCTATTCACAGATTAGCATCAAAGCTAAAAAACAATGCCAAGCCAATAATAGTTAAACTTGCGACTAGTGACATAAAATCAAAAATAATGAGACAAAAATCTGCCTTGTTTGATCGAAATCTGAAGGTCATTGACGATATAACAGTCAGAAACATGAGTCTTATAAATAAACTGAGAACAACATACAACATAGAATCTGCATGGTATTTTAATTGTAGTGTATATGCTAAAGCTGTTGGAAAAAAAAGAGTTAAAATAGATATCTTTGATGATGTCTATAAGGTATTTAGTGCACCGAAGGAAGATTAGTAGGCAAATAGACAAATATAGTATAAAATTATGTGTATGAATATCTTATTATTTGATGGACAATGCAAGTGTATACTGTACGTGCATACATGTGAAGTGTATTTAATATAAATAAGATAATTATGATAACTTCTGTGCTTAAAGAGGTAGTATGCATTAGTTGGCATTATCATCAAGGTCACACAGTTTAGCAGCAATGTGTTATTTATATTCATATATCTACGAGATCAAACTGACTTTGTTTAAAAGAGGTAAATTAAAAGTGGAAAATGAAAATTGTTAATTTGGCAGGTTGACCTAATTTTGGTGTAATTATAATGAAATGCCATTTAAAAAAACAAACGCTATGATACATCTACCTTCCTTTCCACCAAACACACTCTATGATGATGTATATTTCACACTCTATGATGATGTATATTTCACACTCTATGATGATGTATATTTCACACTCTATGATGATGTATATTTCACACTCTATGATGGTGTATATTTCACACCCTATGATGATGTATATTTCACACCCTATGATGATGTATATTTCACACCCTATGATGATGTATATTTCACACTCTATGATGATGTATATTTCACACTCTATGATGATGTATATTTCACACTCTATGATGATGTATATTTCACACTCTATGATGATGTATATTTCACACCCTATGATGATGTATATTTCACACTCTATGATGATGTATATTTCACACCCTATGATGATGTATATTTCACACTCTATGATGATGTATATTTCACACCCTATGATGATATATATTTCACACTCTATGATGATGTATATTTCACACCCTATGATGATGTATATTTTAAAACTCCTGCCATATGACAACCTCAGTAAAGAATAGTACCATATAGGTATATAGCCTATACGTATAGCACCTTTTTTAATTTCTTATAGAATATTTGAATTTATATTTTAAAGAGCTTAGCCTCTTACCCTCGCACCATAAAAACAATAATATTGTTTACAATTTATTGTTTACAAAAGATTTATTACATAATTTGTTATTTATTGTCCACCAGTATGACTATGCACAAATATTATTAATTGAATATGAATCAAAATATCTCTTATGTTTCTGTATTGCGAATAGAATTAATGACTTATTAGTATTACAATCCAGGAAGGCTACAAAAATATTATTCATTTATGCCAAGTTTATAAAAGCATCAAGTTTTTTAGAGATAACTATCATTCATGTTTTCTCAAAGATTTGTTTTTTTCGTATTTTATACTATAATAATGGCTGACTTGAAAATATCGCCAATAAGTTGAAAAGAGTAGATGTTTTTAACTGTTTGCAACAAAAAAAATGTAGATATTTGCTTCTTGCAAGATACACATTGGGATATTGAACTTAATACTAAAATTAAACTTGTGTAGTGTGTCCTTACAAGAGCAATTCAAGAGGAGTTTGCATTCTCTTTAAAAATTCATTTGAACTGAAAATTATTGAAACTATTATTTATACAAATGGTAACTATTTGTTTTTGAAAACTTTAATCAATGATGAATTATTTACGTTGATAAGTATATATGGACCTAACCAGGACAACCCTGACTTCTATAATAAAATAGATGAACTAGTCTCCAAATCAGGTAACAGTCATATCATATTAGGAGGCGACTGGAATATGGTTTTAGACCCAAATATTGACACTCAGAACTACTTAAAAATAAATAACCCGAGAGCTAGACAAAAGGTATTAAATATTATTGATAAATATAATCTTTGCGATGTCTGGAAGAGTATGAATGATACAGAAGTTCACTTGGAGGCAACGTAATCCGTTCAAACAGGAACGATTTAACAAAAATCTTTACTCTATAAATACAGATGTCAACAATGACATTTTTAATAGTTCTATCTGGAAAAATTCAAAACATAAAATTCTAAGAAATGAACAGAGTACATCATTGGAAGGACTCATTACAAAATCAGAATTGAAAAAATGTCTTTTTAAACGAAGTTGAATAAATCGCCAGGATTAGATGGATACTCAGTCGAGTTTTTCAGATGCTTTTTTAATGAAATTGGAACATTTTTGTTAAAATCGATAAACCAATGGTACATGCAGGGTGACTTGAGTATAACACAGGAACATTTTTGCATTCCAAAAAGTGACAAAGTTTTTTTTATTAAAATTTGAGACCTATTTCGTTGTTGAATATTACATACAAATTAGCCTCTGCATGTATTGCTGAGAGGATTAAAGGTGTCCTGCCTTCAATAATATCCTTAGACCAGACAGGATTTCTACAAGGACGATATATAAGTGAAAACACTAGATTAATATATGACATTCTT